CTACCAGTCCAACAATGCTTATTGAAGCATTGTGTAACATAGCCAAGATACGGACTCAACCCAGATGCCCCTCAGTGGATGAATGGATCAAGAAGATGTGGTATATACAAACTGTGGAATTCTATTTATCCATCAGAAAGAATGACATAGCTCCGTTTGTAAGGAAATGGAAAGAGTTGGAAAAAATTATATGAAGCAAAGTAAGCCAGAGCCAAAGAAACAGAGGTTGCATGGTTTCTTTCACTTGTAGTAAATAGAATATGCCTATAAATCTACAAGTAAACCCACTGAATTATTAATACACACATATATGCATACTGGAACATAATAAATTGTATATGACTCTAGACATTCACACACTGATGCCAAAGCAGGATATGCACAGGAGTGCTTGACAAAGGCTAAATAGCTATGTGCATATGATCATATAAACTAATAATGTATGAAATGAACTCCAAGAAAAGGAAACAAGAGACCTTTTAGTTGCTATTTTGGCTTTCTTTTCCTTTTGTCTTGTTTGTTATTTGTTTGTATTAGGGGGGTTAAGGAGGGACACTGAAAAGATGGAACGAAGTGGTACATACTAGAGAGTATGTGGAAAATAAACAGTACATCTTGTGGGTGGGGAAAGGAGGGGAAAACTGGGAGAGAGCAAGGGAAGGGGAGACATGATTCAAAAAGAATTGTACTCATAATTGATTCATGTAACTGTAACCGGTCTGAATATCACCTCTACAATAACGTTTTTTTTTAAAGAGTCTTGTGACTTTTCTCCCCATGCTGGCTTTGAACCTCAATCCTCAGATCTCAGCTTCTTGAATAAAATCAAGACTTTCCCTCCAGTAGTCCATCTCCCAATTACTTCTATAAAATAAGATATTATTGCATGTTTCTTCTAAAAATCCATGGTATAAATGCTGCAGATAAAAGAAGAAATCAAGCCGAGCACAGGTGGCTCAAGCCTGTAATCCTAGCTACTCAGTAGGCTGAGATCTGAGGATCATGGTTCAAAGCCAACCCGGGCAGAAAAGTCCAAGAGACTCTCATCTCCAATAAAGGACTAGAAAACCGGAAGTGGCACTTTGTCTCAAGCAGTAGTGCACTCACCTTGAGCTGAAGAGCTGAGAGATAGTACCCAAGCCCAGAGTTCAAGTCCCACAACCACCAAAAAAAAAAAAAGAAGAAGAAATCAGGAGCATGTCCACAACTCACCCTGAAGATCTTAGGCTCATAAACAGTTTGTCACAGCATAGCTCACTCAGCACAGGTAGTTTTGAGCTCATTCATGTATCTAACTGCCTTTCCAAAGGAGATCAGCACCTTCTGGCCATGAACTTTGACTGTTGAGCTGTTCATTATTACTGAGACAGAGGACATTTTAAAAATTACTCAAGAATCTCTGGATTCAGAAGTAAATCACCAGAAAAAAGCCTGTTAGATGGACACAATGTAAAGTCCTAATATGCAAAAACCAAACATACAAACTTGTATAGTTTCTCATTCAGCAATACTTTCTTCCTTACTACCACCTTTTCTGATTTCCGTTGGCTATCTGCTGAGTATCTTACTTTTTTCCTCTTTTAGCTTCATCTGGTTCCACAGGCTAGCAACCACAGCTTTACCTTGGCAGCAAAATGTACCACTGTGTTATGGCTGGGAGTATACTGGTGATCATAGATGAGACAGAAGCAGGTCTTGCTGGCCCCTTTCTGTGTGGTCTTCCATTTCCTTTATTTTTCCTGATGAAATGAGGCTGATGGTCAATGGTAGTCTAACCTTAGGATAGAGTTTGGACAAAGAAGGTTTGTGGGAGGGCTATCTGTGTCTCAGCCTATCAGGGACGTCTGTTGTCCTTTCCACTATCTTTCACTATTCTATTCTTATCACTTTTACCACCTCCCCTAAAGTGACTCATATCCTGACCCTAAGAAGTGAATTAGAAACAAGAAGGCTAAGAAGAATAAATCTGTTGAGCACTGAGTAAAATGCTGTTGTGTGCTGGTGCTAAATCCTTCTATTATTCAGCTACAATGCATATGAATGAAGCCTTAAGTGCTCTGAGTCACCAATTTCCCTAAAGCGTAGATGAGGCTCATGATTTTAAAACTCTTCTAAATGAAAAAGTATCCCAGTCCAACACTAGTGTGGACACCAGATAAATTAAAATTGGTCATTTAGACAAGAGGTGAGAATTGCTTCATTTTTTCTTCATATTCATAACGTATTCCAACTGAGCAAACTTTGTTCACTCATATATATGGAGAAGTGTTTGGCTGGTGGGGGGGAATACTCAATTTGGTATTGGGGAAGCTTATTACTATGCCCAGTGAAGAGAGTCATACATGATTCAGTGGGGATGAGGTGATCTCTGTCTGATCTATATTGTGCTATGTTCCTCTACTGAGTTATCTAATCAGACAGAGTCAGTCTTCACTGACAACATTCCACACACTGTTGTGGTTGTGGGCTGCAGTTCGATTTCCTATAACAAGCAATTACTTATATGGACTGGGCATAATTTTAATGGCTAAGAAAATAGAGTGTTATTATTTTTCATACACACAACCTTAAGACTCTGATTTCTTTCTTTATACATGAGATTAATTCTTGCAAAAGCTACAATTTTAAAAGTCACTATTTATCAATATTTATAGAAGTATTGGAACACTCAGATCCAGTGTTAGACCTGAATTAGAAATTATTTCTGCCTACTTGAACATGTAAGAGACTTCCTCCGTTTTATCTGTTCAGACTTAAAATATTTGTTTAATATTTTAAATATCCATTTACATAAATATTTGTTTGCAATATTTAATGTTTAGCAATTGCTAAAGAGCCAGGCTGTTTTATCATGGCATTCCGAAATGTCTGTGAGCTCTCATTTTCAAACTTAGTTGGCACAGAAACACAGGAGAAGCAGGCAAAAAAGTTTGAGTCAAACCCAGAAGAGTTCAGTTTAAAAGAAAAGGGTACTGGTGGCTCATGACTGTAATTCTAGCTACTCAGGATGCTGAGATCTGAGGCTCATGATTCAAAGCCAACCCAGGAAGTAAAGTCCATAAGACTGTTATCTCCAATTAACCACCAAAACACTGCGGTGTTAGCCTTGAGCAAAAGAGCTCATAAATAGTACCCATGCACTGAGTTCAAGTCCCAGGACTTTCACACAGAGAAAATAAAAATGTCAGTGGAATATAAAGAAGAGGCAACTTTGACCACAGAAAGGCATCCCATTTACACTCATCAATAGACCTGTTCAGAGGGCCTGGCTCAGGGTACTGACCTCTCTACTGGCCTTAATGTCAATGCATTATGTCAGATTAGAAGCACTTGAAGTACATGTCAGGGAATGCCCTGTTATTGAATTTTGAACTTCATCTCATCAGTAGTAGATCCCAGTTATAACCACCTAGCAGCTATACAATTATTCATTATGTATTTTTAAATTCAAACATTTACTGAGCCTAATTATGTCATACATTATTTCAAATACTGGGGTATTTAGTGAACAAGACAGAAGCTCACAGAGACTTGTGTTGGTCACATCTAATAAAGGATATCAACACAAATCAATAACCTAACAAATTGGAAAGTTTCAGATAATGTTATATGACAAGTAAAAGTGCATACAATTGTACACTGGCAAGTGACTGCAGAAAAGTAATATGGGATAATGTTAATAAAAAATGTTACATTAGAAGTGATTTAATGATAAAGCAGAGACCATTATAAATAGTTGGGAGAAACAAATTCCCATCTAAAAGTAGGTAAAAACAAGTGCAATATCCCAATAAAATAGAAGACGAGTAAAGAATAAAATCTTGGTATTTTATCATGATAAAGGTTTTGTATTACAAACTCAGAGAATAATAAGCTAAGGGATTTATGAGTGGATGCAATGTTATGGAGATGAACTCAGGCAGCCTATTATTTGTGAGTTATTTATGACAGTTGGGCAGGGATTTAATTCCATGACATAGAAAACAATGAAGATGAATACACCCAACATTAGTAAGATCTCTTCTATCTGTCACCCAAACACACTTTAATTTTCCTGAACTCTCTATCACAATGTTACATTCTTTTCTACAAATACAAATTAACTCCCAATCACACAAGAAACCCAGTGAATCTGCCTGCCTAGTTGATCTAGTCAAAGTCTTCTCACTTCCTTTGGATAGCCTGCTGTGGTTCTATTGCTCAGACACAATGTGTCATGGAGGGCTTCTTGTAATTTCCTCCACAAATATCCCCTCCTCTTCCAGAAACATATAATGATATCTAGACCTTCACATGTAGTAGTTCACCTGCATACTTGAGTGTTATTTCTCCTAAGGCCTTTGAGCTGACTTAACCATGGTAAGGCATATGTCAACACACAATACACCAAATTCCTTAGCAACAAAATGTAGTTAATTTGAGACAGGTGTCAACTGTTCTGAGTGCCAACATCTGCCCCATTCTATCCTCAAAGAAGCTGTGAACAGCAAAGCCCTGTTGAAAACTAGCTTATACTAAATAGAAAGGCATTGTAATCCCTCTTAGACCTTGACTTCTTACAGCCTGGACTAATTTTCATATAGTGAACTCCATCCTTGTTACTCTGCCCCAAGCCAGCCTTGAAGTCATCACCGTCTCCACTAAATTGTCTAATTCTAAGAATCCTTTCTTCCCAATACCACTCTCCTACTCCTCATGCTTTCCATTCAAGTAATCTATGCATGTGGGACATTGGTTTCTTCTGTGATCTTCTCAATAAAATCCATAATTCAGGCAAAAACAAATAGGAACCCAACCTACCCCTCTCACACACAAAAACATGCAAACATACATGCAAACATACCCATCAACATAAAATTGGGGGGCTCTATATTTAAAAGTCTATGGAAATGAAGACTGAAGGACCATCACCTATGATTGCTTAGCAGACTACTTTTATTCTTTGCATTATATGAGGGATAGAACTTCTCTGTGAGAGGTCTAAACTATAGGCAGGCAGCTCAGTGATACTTAGAGGCCAGGGCATTGGCAACTCCAGACATCAGCTTCTGAAAGGCAGCCTGCACCTCAGGGGTGAACTCCTTGCCGAAAGTTTTTGACAGAGCAACCATTAGCACATTTCCCAGGAGCTGTAAACCAGAAAGAGACAATAGATATAAAGACAGTTAGCAGGCAACTCTACCAGATGCTAGATTGGTCTCTAGATACCTGAACCCCCAGCTCTCACTCAGAACCAAGCCTATATGAGCTTCCCTCTAAGTCTAGAGTTTCACCTAGTTAATAAACACAGGAAGTTTATTCCCCTGGCAAGTCTAGTTATGGCCTTTTCTTATGATGAACAGTCCTATATTTTATAGACTGTCCTCCTGAAGTTGTAAGATATCAATTTGGTTTTAGACATATTTTATATGTCTAATGTAGGACTATATAGTATATAATATAGTAACTATAGGAATAGCCACTGTAATATATGTTCAATTGCCTAGGTTCCTTTTATTTTCAACAAGTCAGTATATGCCTGAGTTTCTAGGGCCATCAATAAACAAAAACAAGACAGAAAAAATGTGATATTCTTTCTCTAGAAAGAAAGAAAATCATTTTGAACAAGAGTTTATGGAAACCTATCATTTTTTCTCATCCCCATACAAGGTTTTTCTCAAAGCTAATGACATATAGACAAGTCCCTGTCGACTTCTAGGGTCATCTCTTCTATACAAGCCTGTTCTCAGCAAGGTTAGGATTGTGAGGCTGCTTTACATCCAAACTCAAATCCACGAACACCTCATATCTTCCACAGAGTCTCAGACCTAGATCAACAATGTTTAATTACTTGTCTACGTTGCCCTGAGGCCAAAGGTGAGAAGGCTTAGCATCTCCCAGACTGACCTTGAAGTTTTCAGGATCCACGTGCAGCTTGTCACAATGCAGCTCGCTCAGGTGAGCAAAGTTGCTCTTGAGATCATCCAGGTTCTTAGTGGCATCTCCCAGGGAACTCAGTACCTTCTTGCCATGAGCCTTGACCTTAGGGTTGTTCATAATGGCACAGGGCGAAGACATGTTTCCAAAGCTGTCAAAGAACCTCTGAGTCCATGGATAGACAACCAGGAGCCTATGAAATGAGACAGTCAGAAGAAGGCTCAAATCTGGAGACGAAGCCTGAATTTTGGTCAAGCAATTCCCCTTCCTCCCTCCCTCTCTTGTCATGGCCCCTCAGAGTTTACCTTCCCAGGGCTTCTCCTCCAAGTTCTTCTACATTCACATGTCCCCAAATGCTGTTGATAAAAGCCTTCTCTTCACATGTAAGGTGAACCATGGTGTCTGCTCTAGGAGTCTGCTGGATATCTCTGACGTTAGCAGCACAAAGTGTGTATGGTTGCTAGAAAGTATGTCCTTTTATTCTTCATTCTTGACCTGCTGGCCCATTGCTTCACCTGATACTCTGAACCTATTGGTTAAGGCAAGCTGATCAATCAAGCTAGGGGTGGGGTCTGGGTAGGATAAGATTACAACAGGCATTTTCACAAAGCTAATGTCAGGGAGGGGCCCCTCAAGGAGACCCTGCTGCTGAAGGTGTTTGGTTTTTGTTTTTTTTTAACAGTCCCTCCCCCTATTTCAAGTCCATTATCTCTGTTTTCCTTTCACTCTTCCCTTCAGCTCTTTTCTTCTCCTCCCACCAGAGGATTATTTCTCTGTCAATCTTCCCTCTGTGTCTATCTCTAACTTCAGAGAAATCTATAGACTAAGACTAGAGACAAATATGTGAACAATTCCCAGGTTATGACATACTTTTTAGGCTTGGAGTTGAGCATCTGTGCTGGGACAAGTACCCATCTCATTCCATTAGAAATGGTTTCCAAGAACACCAATGGTTTCATTGGTGTTCAAATGATCTGAGGTGTTAGGGTGTGATCTTTCTAATTTACAGCAGTCTGAGGAAACATGAGGCGTCAGCTTCTCTATAGGAATAGACTAGTGTTATGTAATGTAGATCTGCACCCTTGGCTCCCTGCATCTGTGTAAAATAGAGCATAAGAAGGACAATGTTTGCCTCCATGTGAATGTCCTTACATAGTCAGCAGATCTGTGTGTTCCCTGCTGAAATAAGTCTACACTAATTAGTGATCCAAGCTTTGGGTATAGCCTTCCATGCTCAGGAACAACAGCTGTGAGTTTTCTTGGTGATCAATATGGACTTGTTTTTCTACTGTTATGTCTTTCAAATCATTTCCACTGGTTTAATTCCAAGGCATATTATAGACAGAGAGCAAACTTTCTCTTGCATGCTTGTTAATCTCTGAACACACAGGACTTATCTTCCTGGAGTAACAATCCACACACTACACTGATAGCTGGGACCTTACTGTCTGTCAGACACATTGTCTGAGTCAGTTCTTTTTCTGACATATCACTTTCAACCTGACAGAGAGAAGATGTATATTTTTTTTTCTCTATGACCTTGCTAAATCACAATGCCTAAAAATTTTTTTAAATCAGCCTTGATTCTTTTCTCTGTAGGGACAGCACGGATGGTTCTCTGAAAGGGTGCACAAATGCATTTAAATGAAGAACGTTCTTCAAATTCATTCATGGTCTAACTTCTCGTGTGGATTGACACTAATAGTATAGGAGAAGGCCTTTTAGTCTTTATGCAAAGTTTACAGTTTTTAATGGATGTAGACCAAGAAGTTGAGAAGATATCAGTAATGATTGTCTTCTCTTAGGGGTGACCGATAGCTATATTTATAGACTTATAGATATATAGAGAGAGATATAGATAGATAGATAGATAGATAGATAGATAGATAGATAGATAGATAGATGTGGAGGTATAGAGCATAGAGCAGAGGTGAATGCAGTTAGGATCTCTCTCTTCTTTAATAAAATTGAATTTTTATTATATCTATAGTGGCATGTATTCAATATGCCAGGATTCTATAAGATAAGAAGGCTACGAGATAAGTTTACTGTGTATACCAGATGTGATTATTCCACAGGGTTCAGCTTGTACGGTCTTGGAGGATAACTTAAAGGCTTGGTTTGAGGCCTTTAAAAAATTAGTGACTCTTAATTATCCCTAATTAAACTACAGAAATTTATGATTATGCATGTCTACAGACAGTTGTCTGTCCTGGTTTTTTCCCTGAAACTTAAACAGTGACCCCCAAAGTCACCTATGTCCACTGCTTCCCTTTTTGTGTTTTTGAGGAAATACCTTTTAGATTTTTGTTAATTACTCCACATCCCTCCATGACTGTTTTACCCTTGCATTTTGCTCTTATCATTGCTTCATGGTGTTGGCTGATTCTTAACCTATGAAGCTGCTTCAATCCCACATGTTTTCTAGCATTCATCAGTAACTATTTTACTAAGTAGCTGTGTCATAATTGTTGTAAATTCAGAGGAGTTAACATAAATAAGGCATAGGGGAGAATGAAAAGTGAATACATAAGCCAGTCAACCAAATCAGTTCAAATATTATTTACACACTATCAAATTAGTATTTGGACTTGGGTAGAATTGTAGCAGGCAGACTTTCTTTTAAGGGGGAATTGTTTTAGCTGTGACAGAAATAAGGAGTAAGATGGAAAGATAGTCCGAGATATTTAGAAGTTGGAATAATAAATTCAAAACTGAAGCTGAAAATAACAAGCTAATTGTTACATTAAAGAAATAAATAATGGGCCTGTGAAGTACACATGCCAATAGAGAGAGAATGGCAGAAAATACTGTGGCAGAGGATGTACAACACCACTTGTCTGGTGACAGACAGCTCATCTTCTGTGTCCAGGAATGAGAAGCTGTATGCCATTAATCTTCTTAATGACATGATCTCTAAGCCTCCTACACACTTTGCTAAGAGAACCAGTCTAATAATGTTTGTCACATTATTTTATTCAGACAGCTGATATTAAGTATGAGCAAGAATTATTTATTCTTTATCTATTAAAATTTTTGTGTCATTCAGAACTTGGGGGAGTGTGGTATAAATACTGAATTTGCTTTCTATTATGTTGTGCTGCCCTGATGATGACTAGAACTAGGTATCATTCTTATCATCATCTTTTACTCCTTGACATTCAGAGTCATAATAGTAATTAGATTCTAAAAGGAAAAAAGAAACAAGGAAAAAGAAGCCCAATGTGTTGCTACGTGTCTGTAATCCCATTACTAGGGATGCTGAGACAGGAGACTTATGGGTTTGAGTGCAGCTGCAGCTACATAACAAGAGTCTGTCCCCCAAAAAGAGGAGATATATAGTTAATTTAATTAAAATGCATGTTGTTCCAATTTTTTTAAAGACTAGGTAGGAAAAATAGTGCTGTGAAGATACCCATTTATTCTGCATTGGGGCACATTGAAATGTTACAAAAATTTGAAATATCAGTGTTGTTGATAGCCTGAAACTTTAACAATTATTAGTCTATTGCCCTGGACAAATTCTTATTAGTGTATGGAGGCAAATGCCCAACTGAGTTGCATTTGCTAACATAGAGTACATGGACTTGTGATGTGTAAGGATCTCAAGTATGGACATGAGAGACTGACTTAGGGTTTGAACCTCAAAACTCTCAGAGAAATTAAAGCATTCCAGGAGTTATATTTAAGGTGGGCATTGGTGGCTCATGTCTTTTTTTGTTGTTGTCGTTGTTTCTGGGGGGTCTGGTCGTGGGGCCTGAACTCTGGGCCTGGGCACTGTCCCTCAGCTCTTCAGCTCAAGGCTAGCGCTCTACCACTTGTGGTGGCTCATGTCTATAATCCTAACTATTCAGGTAGCTGAAATTTGCATAGTTTAAAGCCAGCTCAGGCAGACAAATCAGAAACTCTTAATCTCCAATGAACTACTGAATCTACTTTGTATTCATAACAAGACAATGTTTCCTAATAATCATTCTAAAAGTGTTTATTGTTAACTATTTCCAGTATCAGAATAAGTTGATTTATTATTTTATTCTCAAGACCATCTGTTATCTGGTCTTTGCTAATATTCCACCTAAACTGACTGTCCTTTTCATTTTTGGAAAGCTAATTCATGCCAGTAACCAAAATCCATGTAATCTTACATCTCGAGAAGTCTACATCATGATGCTCCCAAAATGTATATATTTATAAGCTAACTCTATATTTTAGTGCATGTTATATTCTAATAGAACATAATGCACATTGATTGTTTGATCCTTTGTTCCTTATGGAAAGACAGGCCCCTAAGAGAAGAGTTGGCTATAATTGATTGGTGGGGACTTTCAGGAAAACTCCAAGCTATAATTTAGTTCACTCATTTTTCTTAAATTCACTCTCCCAAGATATATGATATATGTACACATATAAATTTTGTATATTATATAAATGAATACAGTAATCTTTAGACACCTACAAAGCTTGGTTTTGTCCTTCTCTTTTTTGGTGAAATTTGGCATATCCCACAAGTCTATTTCCTCAGGTTTCATTTTACTCCTCCTCCACCCTCTGCCATAGTGCTCTTCAAGTCTTTCCTCACATACCACCTGTCCCTCCTCTGATGAGTTCCAACACTCTTGTGAGGAAAGATTTTGTTTCTTCCCATATTTCTCCCAAGAAATGTGTGTTCCTCTAACACAAAAGCAAAAGACAGAGAAGACAAAACATCACTATTGAAGAGAATGAACTTTATTAAGCAGAAGATGTGTACTCAAGGTCCAGTTCGGTCCCCGTGTATAGAAGAAGGGTTCAGGGGACACAGGGAGGGCTGGTGAATTGGACAGAGGACTCAGTGGTACTTGTGAGCCAGAGCAGTGGCAACACCAGCCACGAGCTTCTGCCAGGCAGCCTGCACTTCAGGAGTAAAATCCTTGCCAAAGTGAGAAGAGAGGACAATCAACAGCACATTGCCCAGGAGCTATTAGAAAAAAAAAAGAGAAAAAGGACACATAGACATATTAAGTAGAGGTTTCCAGAAAAGAAAAATGTACAGAGGAATGGCTGCCTAACTCCAGTCTCCCTGAGAACCCCAACTTCAAGAATTCCACTCTCAGTCATCACAAATGAACCTAGATTTAATTCCATTCAACATCCTTCTTACCTAGATCCTCATATCCTCCCCTAATGGCACCATTTTATTTACGTTTCCTCCTTTCTCATTAACTAAATCCAAGATTTCTGTGAAAATAGAATCTCAGGACTACCAGATTCTCATTGAGAGCTAGTCTTCATCTATGAAGGACAAGCCTCAGCTTGTCACAATATTTTGTGGGAATTTAATTTAATTTTAGGTAGTTTGTCATTGTGTGTGTGTGTGTGTTTTGTGTGTGTGTGTGTGTGTGGTATGCCAATTCTGAG